ATTTGTAGCTAAGCCACCAAAAGTAGTATGATTTTGTGCCTTTTCTTTTGTCTTTTTCTTGCACTTATTAGTGTTCATATTCATAGAAGACCCCCTTAGTCTTCTATGAATTCATCACTAACTCATCTGAAGGTATAAAACTGCCTGTGAATACAGCCATACAGATAGCTGACATATCCATTCAATTATTTTCTGGGATACATCACTTCTGGAGTCCTGAGTTCTCTTCTCCACTGTGAGCAGGTTGTTCTCTATGCATGCTGCCCAGCTACTGCCCCTTCATTGTTCTTCTGGGTTTTCCTTTCATTCTTCTATTCCGTCTCCCATTTTCCTTGGTTCTGTGTCTTCCTCTTTCTTTCTTTCTTTCTCTACTTTTACTGAGATACGATTGTGTCCAGTGGTTAAGACTTTGCCTTCCAATGCAGGAGGTTTGGATTCAATCACTATTGGGAAGCTAAGAGTCCACATGCCTTATGGACAAAAAACCGAAAAATAAGACAGAAGCAATATTGTAACAAATTCAATAAAGACATAAAAAAATTTTAAATAAACTAAAAAATGTGTTTTTTATAAGATCTATTTATTTAATCAGATAAAGCTTAAAAAAAAGCTTAAAACAAGAGTAGACAGTCCTGAAAGGACATATACCTTATAACCCAAGTTGGAAATACATGAAGAATTATGACTAGTGATCCTAGTTGTGCAGCATAATGACCCTGGGGATGGTACTCCCTTCCTACTGTTCCCATTATTCATGTCTCTATTCAGTGTTCCTTCTTCAAATGGCTCTTAAACTGTTAAACCTAAAACAGTCATTCCCTTAACCTTGCTTTATTTTTCTTTGTAGTGCTTAGTCAAAGCATAACATTTTATTATTAAAAAATTTTTTTTCATATTGGAATATAATTGATTTACAATGTTGTATTAGTTTAGGTGTACAGCAAAGTGATTCACGTATAATATATCTATTCTTTTTCAACTTTTTAAAAAATTCTTCTTAAAACTTTTCAAATTCTTTCCCCATTTAGGTTATTACAGAATACTGAGTAGAATTCCCTGTACAATACCTTGTCTGAAAGAGTGCAGAGTAGAAGGATGTACGCTTATCTTCCCCTGTGAGAACACCGCTAAACAACCATTGTTGGAACCCACAACAAAAAAGATACCCCACGTCCAAGGACAAAAGAGAAGCTGCAATAAGACAGTAGGAGGAGTGCAATCACATTTAAATCAAGCCCCATACCCACCAGAGACTCTTGGAGGGCACAAAGAAAAACCTTGTGTGCACCAAGACGCAGGGAAAGGAGCATTGCAGCCCACAAAAGACTGAGCCAGACCTGCCTGTGAGCGTTTGAGGGGCTCCTGCGGAGGCCTGGGTCACACTGCAGCACACGGACACAGTCCTGGGAGGTGTGGCGTGTGGCGTGGGTCCTCCTGAAGGAGGTCACCATTAGCCCCACCATACAGCTGCCTCTCATCTGAGTTAAATTCGCCCATTCCAGTCCATTTTAGTTCACTGATTCCTAAAATGTTGATGTTCACTCTTGCCATCTCCTGTTGGACCACTTCCAACTTACCTTGATTCATGGACCTAACATTCCAGGTTTCTATGTGCTCTTTATAGCATCAGACTTTATTTCCATCACCAGTCACATCCACAACTGGATGTTGTTTTTCCTTTGGCTCTGTCTCTTCATTCTTCTGGAGTTATTTCTCCACTCTTCTCCAGTAGCATATTGGGCACCTACTGACCTGGGGAGTTCATATTTTAGTGTCATATCTTTTTGCCTTTTCATACTGTTCATGGGGTTCCCAAGGCAAGAATACTGAAGTGGTTTGCCATTCCCTTCTCCAGTGGACTACATTTTGTCAGAACTCTCCACCATGACCCGTCCATCTTTGTTACTCTGCCAACAAAGATCCGTGCAGTCAAAGCTGTTTTTTACAGTAGTCATGTATGGATGTGAGAGTTGGACTATAAAGAAATCTGAGCACTGAAGAATTGATGCTTTTGAACTGTGGTTTTGGAGAGGACTCTTAAGAGTCCCTTGAACTTCAAGGAGATCAAAACAGTCAATCCTAAAGGAAATCAGTCCTGAATATTCACTGGAAGGACTGATGCTAAAGCTGAAACTGCAATACTTTGGCCACCTGATGCAAAGAGCTGACTCCTTAGAAAAGACCCTGATGCTGGGAAAGATGGAACGCAGGAGGAGAAGGGGATAACAGAGGATGAGATGGTTGGATGGCATCACCAACTCTATGGACATGAGTTTGAGCAAGCTTCGGGAGCTGGTGATAGATGGGGAAGCCTGGCGTGCTGCAGTCCATGGGGTCACAGAGAGTTGGACATAACTGAGTGACTGAACTGAACTGAACTGAGAGCTGCTGGTGGGTGATCCACAAACTGGAGAACAATTATACCAAAGAAGTTCTTGCACTGTTATGAAAGTTCTAGGACCCAAAACAGCCTTCCCAACCTGGGGATCTTTGGCAAAGGGACTGGGAGTCCTCAGGGAATCTGACTTTGAAATTCAGTGAGATTTGATTACAGAATTTCCATAGGACTGGGGAAACAGAAACTTTGAAGGCACAGACAAAACCTTGTGCACAATAGGACCCAGGAGAAAGGAGCAGTGACCCCACAAGAGACTGAGCCAGACTTGCCTGTGAGTGTTTGGGAGTCTCCCACAGAGGCATGGGTCAACAGTGGCTACCACAGGGTCAGGGGCTCTGGCAACAGCAGTCCTGGGAGGCTCAGGGTGCTGGCCTAAGTCCTCTTGGAGGAGGTGGCCATTACCCCTACCACAAAGCCTATAGCCTACCATAGAGACTGCAAACTCTAGGACTGGGCTGCCTCAGGCCAACCTACAGGGAGAGAGCACAGCCCCACCCATCTGCAGATTAAAGTAAGTCATTGTTGATTATCTGTTTTATAGTATTGTGTACATATTAATCCCAAACTCCTAATTTATCCCTCCACCCACCTTTCCCCTTTGGTAACCGTTAGTTTATTTAGTCTGTTTCTGTTTTGTTATTAAGTTTATTTTTTACCCTTTTTTTAGATTCCACATATATGTGATATCATATGATTTGTCTTTCTCTGACTTACTTCATTCAGCATAATCTCTAGATCCATCCATGTTGATGCAAATGGTATTATTTCACTCCTTTTAATGACCGAATTACATTCCATTGTATACATGTACCACATTTTCTTTATCCTTTCATTTGTTGATAGATATTTAGGTTGCTTCCATGTCCTGGCTATTGCAAATAGTGCTGCAATGAACATTAAGATGCATATATCTTTTTTAATTACTGTTTTCTCCAGATATATACACCAGAGTGGGATTGCTGGTTCACCTGGTAGCTCTAGTTTTAGTTTTTTAAGGAACTTCCATATTGTTCTTTAGAGTGGCTGTACCAATCTACATTCCCACCAACAGTGTAGGAGGGTTCCTTTTTCTTCACACCTTCTCCAGCATATTTGTTTGTAAACTTTTTGATGATGGCCATGAGGTGATGGAATTCCAGTTGAGCTATGTCAAATCCTGAAAGATGATGCTGTGAAAGTGCTGCAGTCAATATGTCAACAAATTTGGAAAACTCAGCAGTGGCCACAGGCCTGGAAAATGTCAGTTTTCATTCCAATCCCAAAGAAAGGGAATCCCAAAGAATGCTCAAACTACCGCACAATTGCACTCATCTCACACGCTAGTAAAGTAGTGTTCAAAATTCTCCAAGCCAGGCTTCAGCAATACGTAAACTGTGAACTTCCAGATGTTCAAGCTGGTTTTATAAAAGGCAGAGGAACCAGATATCAAACTGCCAACATCCACTGAATCATCGAAAAAGCAAGAGAGTTCCAGAAAAACATCTATTTCTGCTTCATTAACTATGCCAAAGCCTTTGACTGTGTGGATCACAATAAACTGTGGAAAATTCTGAAAGAGATGGGAATACCAGACCACCTGACCTGCCTCTTGAGAAACCTGNATGGAGATCCAACCAGTCCATCCTAAAGGAGATCAATCCTGGGTGTTCACTGGAAGGACTGATGTTGAAGCTGAAACTGCAATACTTTGGCCACCTGATGCGAAGAGCTGACTACTTAGAAAAGACCCTGATGCTGGGAAAGATTGAGGGCAGGAGGAGAAGGGGATGACAGAGGATGAGATAGTTGGATGGCATCACTGACTCAATGGACATGGGTTTGGCTGGACTCCGGGAGTTGGTGATGGACAGGGAGGCCTGGCATCCTGCGGTTCATGGGGTCGCAAAGAGTTGGACATGACTGAGCGACTGAACTGAACTGATTCTGACTGAGCTGTTTTATTATTTGTTGGTTACTTGTTTATTGTCAGTTTCCTCAGCTACAGAATAAGCACCCCGGGTGCAGCTTCACTGTCTTGTCCATATCATACACCCAGAGCTTGGATTGGAGCTTGGATCATCATCAATCACTTACTTAGCCTCTATTTTATGTTATGTATACAGTTGACATGAGAGGTCGGGACGAACAAAGATGTATAAAAACTTCCATAAAGAAATCCCACTCCCTGAAAGGATAAAGTTCAAAGTCTTGGCAAGCAAAGGTTGGACATCGTAAATCCAAGGGGATAGTAGGGTTTTATTTATTTTTTAAATATTCAAGAAGCTAGATTTGTCTCTGGACATATAGAAGAGTCCCTCTCCTTTCCTCCAGACCCTCCAAAAAGCCCAAGTTCCCAAATTTTTTCAACGGAGGGCTGCATCAGGTTCCTGCCAGCCTTGGTCAAAGCACCTCCCTTGGTAATTGACAGCTGGGGAAATCCCAGGGAAGCCCGCCTCCATGCCCTTCCCGCCCCCTCCGCACCACGCTAAGTCTAGCGCAACCTGGTGGCGCAACCCGGTGGGAGCGGCTGCTATTTCAGCCAATGGAAGGAAACAGGAGCCGGAGCCTGTGTAAACAAACCCAGAGATGCTGGGCCTTGGGCTCCTCCCCCAAGTGGGGCCGGACGGATCCTTGGCCCAGTGCCTTATCCGGGAAAAGCATAGCGCCCTTTCAGCCTATCAGAGCTGGTGCCTCTCGCAAGGAGACGCTCCACCCGGAGGGAAAGAACGAAGGGAGCGAAAAGACAGGCATTAGTACCAATCAGAAGCTGAAATTTCTGAGGGAGTGGGCGGGAACTGCTTCTCATTTAGGCCAATAACCAGCACACGTGCCCGTCTAGGTGACTGAGCGGCATCCTCTTTGGTCCAATAGACAAATGGGGCGGTGCCCAGCAACCAATGGCTTGGGTTCGGGGGCGGGGTGAGAAGCCAGTGTGCAGTAAGAGGTAACCTGACTAGTGGTAGAGGCGCTCTCCCGGTTCTGTGGCTCGCGCTTTGGTACTAGGGACCGAGATTGTTCTAGCGACGGCGACCTCTGCGGCGACGGCTGAGATTCTCGAAAGAGTAGCGGAGGACGGTCCGGAGGAGGGGCTTCTAGTTAACGCAGGTGGGCTCGCGCGCCGGGCTGCCGGAGAGAGAACCCACGGGAAGCGCCGCTCTCCCGGCTCTGGGGGGCCCTGCGCCTCCCTTTGCGCTGCCCTCGGGGCTGTGAGGGGCGGCGCCTGCCTGCCCGAGCTCCTGTGGGGAGGGTAAGCCGGCAGGTCCCACGTCGCGGCCCTCGACGAGAAGGGGCGACCGCTGGGGTCAGCCCCTGCCCCTCGGGGGCGCGGGCGGTCTGTGGTCCCCTTCTCCCAGCACCCGCGCGGTATTCTAACCCCGCCCTCAACTTCCCTGACCCCTGCCCCACCCCCCAGTCCCCTTCTAATACTCGGACTGAAGTCTCAGGCTTGCGTGTCCTTTTACTGCCCGAGTGGGTGCCACACTGCTGGCAAACTGACCAGTGCTGCCTCCTGCGGTCCTTCTCCCGGAGGCAGGAGGGTGGAGGAGTTGCGCATTTCGCCCCTCCCCCATTTGCGGGACCCCCACCCCAACCACGAACCCGCCGCCTTATTTGCGTTTCTTAAACACTGTCCGCTTCCCGCGTTATTCTAGCCTTCATTGTTGATACCTCTTGTGAGTTATGGACCTTGGTCACTTCTCTTCATCCTTCCCTTCAGCGAGTCGGCCCTTTGCTCCCTCCCATCCCTTAAATTTCGTCCTCATCTCTCATAGAAACTAACATTTTCCACTTGCCCCTACCAGGCAACTGGAAGGTGAACCCAAAAGACGCGGAATATACAGTACGGGGAGCTTTTGAAGGTTGGGGACTTGAATCAGTTTGTTAATGGTAGCCACTTCTTGCCCTCCTGAAAATGGCACTTGATCATTATATCCTTTATGAAATCTGTCCCATTATAGTTGTTTGGTGATCACTTTTGAAAACGCAAATGAGAAGGGTTTACTGGCAGCAAGAAAGTTTTAAATGTATTATTATTTTTATTAAAATAGGATTGGGTTATATTTGAAACAGCTAAACTGGGGTATGGGAGAGTTTGCAGTGTAAGTAATGGCTTGACTACCCTACTTAGTCATAAAATATAGGACATATTTTGGCTGTATAGCACTGTGATTTGGATAATATAGCATTAATCTCTTTAAAAACAGCATTTTGTATTCACCTTTCACAGAGAATTTGGATTCACTTTCATAACATATCAGTTTGGGTTTCATTAGTGGTGGTTCTAGCCATATGTTTCTGGATGGTACAAACTATGTTGTGCCTAAATAAAATATGCCAAGAATTTTTATGAGGAAAAAGTAACTTATCATACTCAGTTTTGATTGAGACTTTAGGGTTTTGAAAATAATTTGGATGTTGGACGGTGAGGATTTTGTTTGAGGGGATGAAGGAAATTGAAGTATGGGGATGAGCCAGATGGGTCTTTTATCCTCTGTGCATGGGGGAAGGGAGGAAGAAAGAAAATTCAGGTGTCCAAAGCCTTGTAGATTCAAACTGTGCTTAGTTTCACGACTTTACATAAATTCAAGTTATTCTTCCTAGTTCTTAGTGGAGAAATGTAAGCAGTGAGTTTAACGTTGTGTCTGCTGTGTTTTAGCCAGAATTTTACAAGCCTTTGTGAAAAATTCTTGTTGTTTTTCTTATCTTATTTGTGACACATATCAATGCTGCCTTGTATTTTACTATGTTAAAACTGTATCTTGTATGTAGAGAAGTCTAATAGAATTAAAAGGAGTCTTTTTTTTTTTTTTTAATGAAGTCGCTCAGTCGTGTCCGACTCTTTGCGACCCCAGAGACTGTAGCCTACCAGGTTCCTCCATCCATGGGATTTTCCAGGCAAGAGTACTGGAGTGGGTTGCCATTTCCTTCTCCAGTAAAAGGAGTCTTTAATCTGAAGAGGCAGCATTGTCTAATGGACCATATGCTTGAGCCTTGTTAATATGGAAAATCACACTGAAAAGAGGGAAATCTTAAAACTGCTCTAATAAATGCCTAGATGTCTAGAACACAGCAACAAAATTATGACAGAATTATTAGCAATCATCAAATAAAAGTCCTAGACAAATTATAAACCTATGAATTGGTTATTACACTATTGTGAGTTGGTATAAGGTGCAGTTGAAAACCAAACTTCTTTTTGTACCACCTTTTCAGATGTATTTGTGCTTGGTAATTACTCCTTCGCACATTTGGAACCGTAACTATGATTTCTTCTAGAGACCCTGCCTTTACGGAGCTCATAGTTTGGTGGGAGAGAGACCTGTAAACCAGGAGTTAGATGTGGAGGGAGAGGTTCCATGGTGTCAGGTGTGTACAGGGCATAGAGAAGCAACGTGGCACAGCGTTCTCGCCTCGCGTCCTACTGCTGTAGACCTTCTGAAGTGCCTTTCCCCAAACTACCTGCTTCTTTCACGTATCTGGGCTTTTCTCTGTAGGTACTGTTCTCTCTTAAAAGACTTTTCCATACCTTCTGTGCCTGGTGAGGTCCTACTTGAAAATCTTCCTGAAGCCTCACACTGCCTCCCCTCCGTTCAAGTAATTATTATCTATATTTTTTGTTACCTCATTATAAATAATTACAGTTGATTCTCACTATTCATGAGAAGATATAAAATCACACAGAGCACTAAATTAGTGAATCCTGAACGATTGCTCCTAGGGAAAGTATGTTCATATCTCACATAGATTTGAATCTTTTCCTAAATCCAAGTCATTCTGGTAGATTGTATTTCTTTATTTTACAGAAGAGAAAATGAGGCGCAGAAGTGTTAAGTGACTTGCATGAGGCCAGCCCCTAACAGTGCCCAAGTTCAGATTGAAAGCCTGTTCTGCTGGCCGCCCCCCACCCCCACGCCACCCCCCTCAAGCCAGAGCTTCCTGCACTGCACTGCCCTCTACTGACCGGCGTCCTCTGTCATCCGCACAAAAGCTGAAACTAAAAGGCAGAGCACTGCCTGGTTTGACCTTATCTGGGAACATACTCAGGAGTGACTCAAAATTTTTGCCCCTCTGTGCATGTCCGTGAATGACTGCAAAAGCACCATCAGTGTGGATGTAGAGGTTACAAGTAAATTTTAGCAAGTAGGCAAGTTCACAAATAGAGGATCCACAAATAATGTGGATCCAGTGTACTTGCGAATGAGCCCTGAAATCTATTTCAGGGCAACTCTCCCTGCAACTCACTGTAGAATTATTTTTGAGAATTCTTATTCATTTATTCAGCAAATATTTATTGAGCACTTACTGTAAGCCAAGCTCTGTTTTAGACTGTGGTGTACAAACTAGAGACTAAGGTGCTCCCTTGTAGATGCTCCGTTTGAATGACAGAGACAGACGGCTAACAGTCTGGAGCTCAGGAGAGAGGTCTAGTTTGGAATTAGAGATTAGTTTGACCAAGATAAAGCCCTGTGCGGCCCCTCCCACTTCACATCCTCTTAACATACTGATTTCCAGTACATTTCTGTTCTACTCCATGCATATACTCTGCCTTTTGAGCCTCTCTACTTGTCATTGGTGGATTTTGAGGCTGCTTACTCATATAGTTGGTAGGATATTATAGAAGGATCAGATTGATCTGGTCTTTAATTTCTGTGTTTGCCACCTACCACCTGAGTGACTTTGGTCAAGCTGTTGAACTTTTAAAGCCTGTTTCCTGATTTCAGAAGTGGTGATCTGATGTGCTAGGCCCTTGTTGGTTGAGAGGAAGAGACACACACATGTTACTTTTGATGATGAGGGTTTAATGTAACTATAATGGAATATCATCTTTGCCACCATATTGTCTGTTGGCCCTAGTGCTTTCAGAACCTTAGGATAGGTTTAGAATTTAAGCTGTGAAGACCTGCTTTCTTTTGTTTTGTTCACTCAACATTTGTGTTTCCTAAGAGAGAGTATCTGATTGGATTCTTTTGTCACATTACAAAATGGAGGCCTCCTATACAGCAAAATTTTGAACCAAGCCATGTCCTAAGTGATCTTCCTCACGTTCAGCCTGTAAATTGTCCTTAGAGTTCTGAGTTTAGTCCAGCAGTTTGTAGCCAAAGAAGTAGGATTGGTTTCATGTATTATCTGTGACACAGACTATAGCATATACAGAAAGAACCCCTTGGTGACAATTTCTTCAGAAAACAACTGAGTGTAGAGTGGTCCTTAGAAGTTCATGGACTTCTGTCCTATTAAAATACTTGCCTACCATGATCATAGACAGTGTTTAATAAAGCACCTAACAAAGTAATTGTTACATGTCAAATATTGCATAGATCTTCCTTTTGATGTTGCATTTGACATTATTATAGTGTGGTTATTTGTTTATATGGCTGCCTTCTTTACTAGACTATTCTCCATGAGGGAGGGTTAACATCTTCATCCTCTATCCTGGACACTTAGTTCTGTGCCTGAGACATGGTAATAAATGCACAAATGTCTGACTTAAGGAATTCCTTAACTCTTCCTGAGAGGATGGAAGGATAGGAAAGATTCCCAGAGAAAATACTGCTTAAGCTGGTTCTTAAAGAATGAGTAGGAAGGTTTTATAAATGAATAAAACCTTGAGGCAGCATTCCAAATAGGGACTAGCAGGTACAAAGACACAGAGATATAAAAAGATAATGAAGTTTATTATATACTCCTAGCAGATTAAAACAGCAAACAAAACCCAAAAAACTATCAGTGGGCTTGGTCGGAAGGCATGTCACAACTGAATTAACTTATGATCATACCTGCTCAGTAACAGATGCAAATTTTAGGGAGAAAGTATAATATCTTCAGGTTGTTGGCAAGGTGTCAACAGTTTAGAAATACAAATATTGACTTTTGGGAACTATTACACTGTAGTGAATTCATCATGAAGGTCATTATGTGTGTGCACTGTTCAAGGTGCTGAAAATGTAATCAAACTTACTCTGAAGAGGCTAACAAGCTACCAGGGAGACAGATAAATGATTTATTGTGTAAGTGAGGTAATAGAGATGGGAATAAAGTGCTATCTGAACCAGGAGAAAGGAGTATTTCATAATATGAAACGCTGGAGAGAGATTTCTCAAGTGAGA